CACACACATATATCTCCTTTCTAATTGAAAAATTAGGTTTAGTGAACAAAATTTCATTGGTCTCTAATGATTTAGAATATGAAATTCATTTCAAACAATTGGTATAATTTTTATCAATTGATTTTTTTGATGTTTCTAATGAAAATCTTTTGTCAAAAAACTTTTCTAAGTTTATGTTAGGAGAACTTGAAATAAGCATGAATTGACATTTTTGAGATTTTGTGGAACAAGCAAAGTAAATCTTTATCAATCAAGCTTAAGTACATCAAAGACTAACTTAAAAATGTGAAATGGAGAATTCAAAGCTTCACTCAACTACAAAGAGCACAACAACATAACGTGATAAGGATGAAGGTAATTGTATTGAATTTATGTTATGTGCCTACGATTTGTAATGTTTAATACATAATTTGATAAATGCTTATTTGATATATGTAAGAATGAGATATTATATTTGAATTTGTGAACAATTTGCACAAATTAATTACCAAGTTACTATATAGAATTTGTCTTAATTTTGTTAAATGCTTGAATTGATTAATATACATGCCTATTTCTTGATTGCTTTGATTAATAATTTTTATTGCATGATTATTCATCGAGTCTTTAGACATGGATATGAGTTAAATAGATTGATTTTTTTTAATATGTTCATTGATTGAAATCATTGAGATAGCATATAACACATTATATCTAAATATTTGTATATCTTTATTTAAATTTTAAAAATCATATTATTTGTTTAATATCAAAATAATAAAACTTAAGAACGTGTACTAAATAAATCTTTTTCAAAATCTTGATCAAGCTTATTTAGCTTAATATTTTATTATTTCAAAATAAAGATCAATTAAAGGCTAACAATCTCTTTTTTTTTTATATGACAAAACTTAAAGATAAATTTACTTGACAAAACACCAATTTAATTAACACATCCTAATCTAACACAACTCAACAAATATACAAATAAACACAATCAAACATATGCATGTCAAACGCAAGTAAATTTATCCATATTTTTCTCTCCCTTTTTGTCATAGCAAAAAGATATGAACAAATAAACACAAAAAAAAAAAAAGATTATATTAAAACTCCTATACCAAATGTTGTATACATACAAGAAATATTTATAAACTCTCTTTTTTTGTCATTGTAAAAAGAAAAAAAGGTCAATTCAAGCCAGAAGACAAAATGCTTGATACCAATTATTATGAGTATTTTTAACGCATGTAATCAAATATAATATGCACAATAAAGTTCACATACATATATTAAAATACAAAAACATAAGTGTATCCAATTAAAATGTTATAACATAAAATTATTCATTCAATCTAATCACATAAAATTTATAAGCAAAAAGATAATAAATTATATGTAAGCTACTCATAAATATCATAAGATGTACTTAGAACAAAAAACATCAATAACAATTAAATATAAATTTAAGCACATGGATACAAGCTCATATCAATTGTTAAAGATATATTATCACAAAGCATACCAATTGTTATAAAAAAACAAATCAAACAAAATTATACTCTAAAATTTCTCTTTTTTAAAATAAAGATTAATCAATTTAAAACACAATTTTGTATGAAAAGTACAAGCTATATCAATAATAGGTACATAAACAAGTGTTAATGAAAGTTAAAAAATTTTTTAACAATTTTGATACTAATTATTACCAATTGTTAGCTATTTTATTCACAAACTTTTAAGGATCACAATATATTTTAAGCATATGAAATGTTCAATCAATATATGCATAATAGCATTCTTTCATAAGCATATCCTAGTTAAAACAAATATTTAATCATCATATTATAATAAAAAATTATACAATAATGATTTTTCAAGCATAATGAACACATGTTATAGCAAAAAAATAATGAAAGCATAATTATTTAATATATAATCCAGTTTATTTTAATATAAAGCAATATTCTTAATCCAAATATATGCAAGTACATAAATACAATCAAACATTTTTCAATCAAAATCATACAAGAAAAAACATTTCAAATCACATAATAATATACCAATAAAGATACAAACATTTAGAAATAATGTGATACATACTATCTCAATGATCTCAATCAATGAGCATATTCAAAAAAATCAATCTATTTAACTCATATCCATGTCCAAAGACTCAAATAAATATTCATGCAATAAAAACTATTAATCGAAGCAATCAAAAAACAAGCATGCATATTAATCAATCTAATCATTTAACAAAATTAAAACAAATTCTATCTAATAACTTGATAATTAATTTGTGCAAATTATTCACACATTCAAACATAATATCTCATTTTTACATATATCAAATAAACATTTTATCAAATTATGTATTAAACATTATAAATCATAGGTACATAACATAAATTCAATACAATTACCTTCATCCTTATCAAATTATATTGTGCTCTTTGTAATTGAATGAAGCTTTGAATTCTCCATTTCACATTTTTAACTTTGTCTTTGATGTACTTAACTTGATTGATGAAAATTTACTTTGCTTGTTCCACTTAAAATCCCAAAAATGTCAATTCATGCTTATTTCAAGTTCTCATAATATAAACTTAAAAAAAGTTCTTGACAAAAAATTTTAATTAAAAACATCAAAAAAATCAATTGATAAAAATTATACCAATTTTTTGAAATGAATTTCATATTCTAAATCATTAGAAACAAATGAAATTTTGTTCACTAAACCTAATTTTTCAATTAGAAAAGAGATATATGTGTGTGTATATAAACTTATTAAAAATCATATATCAAGTTAAACATCATATATCACAATATTGTCACTAAAGTTAAAATTCTCATATAATATGCAAAAATCAAACCTTTTAGATTATTTATGAACCCAAAATAAACATATTCAATATTCATATATATATATTCAGTAAATCACGAAAAAAATATGTCAAAACCAATTTAAAACCCTATAAAATTCAAAAAACTCAGAAAAGACACTTATCATCAAAAACATAATAAAAAAATTTCATCACAAAAGCATAAATATATCTACACAAATTATAAACTATAATCAACAATGATTTAAGACAAACATAAGCATTATAAGAAAATCACTTAATCCATGTTGCAACTATATCAAATAAAGTTTAATCATATTCATATAAGCACACATGACATAAACAATAGATGAGCCAATAATATATTTTAATTAAGATAAATTAGCTAACAATCAAATAAATTGTGACATAACAATCAAACACAAAATATATTTCAAAATTTTCACAAGAAATCAATATATAATCAATTTAGCATTTTTCAAAAATCAAGCTCAATCCACTTATTAACAATGGCCATGTGCAGTCGATAATCAAATTTGACACCATCTTGGACAGGAAGGCAAATTGCAGGCATTCCACTCACCTGTAGCATACACAATTGCACAATTAGCATAACGAAGATAAAGAATATTGACATTTTCTCAAAAGAATTACTCATCTCGATTACATTCCACTTAAGTATTATCCTTTATTGGTTTTACTGATTATTTAATTGATTATTATGACAGATGACAATTTAAGACGGTGGAAGTCTACCTTCAACTATTGTTTCTTTTCCTCTTCAATGTTCATAGAACTTATAGAATGTTATTTTTGCAAATAATATATGAAAATCTGCAACTAAATCACTTCAATATAAACATTTTATCAATTAAATGTTCCTTACTATGCTAATATTTCTAAAGTGTAAAACATAAATTACCTTTTATTGTGCTCTTTTGGTGAATTATTTGCACAAAAGATGAAATACATGAAAAGCAAGGATATTTTAAGATTTCTAGAGATTCTTGGTCGTTCCCTTCAAGTGTTTTTGGAATTTTCATTTTTGGCATCTTTAGTTGTTATGTTTCCATAACTCTTGGTCTACAATAAAAATTAGTTCAATTTACAACAAGCATTTTTAACAATTCTTTAGTTCATTCTACAATATCAAAACACTTAACTGCTAGCAAGGAAATCTACTTATTTATGGCATATGGATTCAATTGATGCATGAAGAGAAGTGATGAAGCGGTAGAGAGTTAGAAAAACATGTACAATACACAAATGTTTGGTAGGATTACACACACACAAGTACGTGTGCAAACTTTTTCAAAACCATTTCTACACTTAGCATCCTCATGGATCACGTAAAAAAGCATTGAAACCCCATTCCATTTATGCAACCTAGTGCAACAAATGTTGTTGTAAAAGAGACAGGGGACTTAAAGCAGACATTATAATTCTAGGATAGATAAATGATTATAAGTTGAAGGATACTCAATGTGACTCAAAAAAGAGTTATAGAACATACATCTTCACCAATGGTGATAGCCTCAGGATAAACTCCATGAATCATATGATTAACCTGCATCAGATAGACAATAACATCTGCATCAATTGCATTTTTGAAGTACTCATTGTAGTTTCCAATAAATGCTACCTACAGCAAGTTCAAGAAAACAAAAGTTAAGCTGGGATAATAAATTATAAAGATGCAATGACACTAAAAACCTTTAGTCCTCAAGAGAATTTAGTTAAGAAACAAACATAGAGAAATGATGCTTCACCACTAAAAAAACCAAATGTTACATCAGTTCTACTTCTCTATATAACATAAAGTCAACTTTGATAATTAACATCTGAATATGCAAGTAACTTATTATATAACACCAAGCAAAATAGAAAATCTACAAACTCATTCTGATATTACCTGCAACCCATGATAGGTGTACATCATTAAAGTCACAACATCAAATTTGAAGCCACCAAACCTGTATTCTTATAGCCACCATCTTGCATTTGAAAGAAGAAACCTTTGTACCTAAAGCAACAAGTAAAAATTAATATTTACACACAATAGGATGGAAGGAAGCCAAAATCTTTCAACAAGCTATTGTTTAAGAGAAGTTTCAGTAGAAGTACATACTTCCCAGCTTCCATAATTAAAAAGGCGAGAATCCCACATCCTGTGGTGACCTCTTGACCCCGAGTGGAAGTAATGAGCATCGGTTCCATCAAACATGTTCAATCCATCTAACACATTATTAGATGCATGGCTGTATTTGTCAAACATCAGTTAGATACAAAGATGGATGAAAAATTAATTAATAACTTAAATTAACTAAAGAACAAAAATTAACTGAGACTTATAGCAAAAGATTACTTACTCAAAGCAACAGAGTGAATACTTAAATAAAAATTTGCTACAGCTTAGAAAAGAATTTAACATTAACGACATGCAAAAGATAAAAACTTTCATTGCAAACAATATAGTAAGATTCCATTTGTTAGTTGTTTTTGCTACTAGCTTTTTGCGTCCAGAAGCATAAAGTTCATTCGGATAGAAAGACAATAATACTTTAAAGAATTAAAAATAAAAAATATAATCTCTTGTAGAACAAAATACTATGATTCCTCTTTTAATAGAACAATTATACTACAAATTCTACTCATTTAATCATATATATTTTCAAACAATTATGACTTTGCTTTTTCCCTTTTAGGTTTGTTCTTTAGAAACCTTTTAGGAAGCCAAAAGCAACTAGAAAAAACATAGTAAGAGTAAGGACCAATAACAGCCTAAATTCTCATGACCATACAATCTACGCAGGAAAAGAAGAAGAAAAAGAGTTTATATTTTCATTTTTGGTACGAAAAAGCTAGGAAAAACCATTTGCACAAAAACTGTAACAGGAAATAAAGCTGAAGGGTGTGTTTCTAGAAATGATATTCTCCTACAAGTCCAATTATTACTACGCACAATATCCATAAGAACAAGTAGACCCAACTCGTGAGCCCTATCTATCAATGACTTAAGATTATTAGGGGTTCCAAAACAACTGCTTGGTACAAAGAAGTTTGTCACATCATAGCTGCAACATATTAAATGCAACTTGTTAAAAGTAGAAGAGGTTAGTTTCCATAACCAAAATTAAATTCTGAAGAAATATTTCTGTTTACATCCAAAACATAACATTTTAGTACAAGTTAACAAACATAAACAGCAACAAATAAAGATAAGCTGATATTTTGATGGAGAAAATACCCAAATCAAGCATAATATGAGTGCTCTTGAACAGCCATGATTTGAACAAGCATTATATCCAATTCTTTTAATGCGGGGAAGCATATCATCTCTAAAGTTGGCAAATGTGTTAATTATTGGCTCCTGCATCTCAGAGTTGATAACATTAAGAAAACTAGGAAATGGATTAACCATACCAAAGTATACCATTGAAGATAAAGACTGAAGGAGTTTGTGGGACAAATTTTATTTGAATGATAATGGGTTTTAGAAATGGGTGAAGAATCATAATGAAATGCAATCAAACCAACTTCTATGTTATTGATTTGAAACTGTTATTTAAGATATTTCTATACACAAAGCTGTTAATAGAGATCCAAGTCACTAGCTGTTTGGCATTTGCATTATCATTAACTAAAGTAATACTCATTATTTAGTATAATCCAAATGGAAGGACTTCCTTTAACTAAAGAACACGAAAGTAGGCCGTATGCACCTATGTTGCTTTTTGCTAGCTTAATTTGACAAATTTTCTCTTTAAGAGAGGCCAGGAAAGTTTCGTTTCAAAATTTACAGGCCTTTCTAGATAGCTATACTATTTGAAGCTCTTAAAGATGTTCAATGCAAGTCAAAATGTTTATCTTCCTTTTGTTTTTTTTTTTTAGGAGGGGGAGGGGAGGTAAAATTGATAGTTTAAATACAAATACTACGATAAATTTTCCTGTAAAATGTATTGTCTTATAAAACCTCATTTTTTACTTTTCAGTCTCAAAACCTTGCAAGAACACTTCATAGGAAAGGTTGAAAGAAATAGCATAAAAAATATGATCACACATGATAGCATTTAATGAAGCTTTTTATCAAACTTAAGGTTTCCTCTTTTAAGACTAAATAAATCAAGGAAACGCAATTCAGCAGAGACAAAAGAGTTGAAAAACATTTTGTTACTGCAAGGGAAAGGAAGATGCATACCATGCTACCCATTCCAACATGTGATTCATAGACTTAAGTGATTTTGGTCCTTTTGGCTGGGAGTGTTTGTATACATACTTTTCCTGTTATAGTATAAAAATCATTAGTCAGGATAAAGAGTAGAAAAATTTGAGATAAGACACATATTATAGACTAAACTAAGTTGACTGTGCTATGCAGTGATAAAATCTGAACAAGCGAGAACACAATTTAGAAACTGACTTCATATATGAAAAAGAACCAATCAAAATTGTTTTCTTAAAAACCTTTAAAGGCATTGATGTTAATATTAATGTTATAAAGGCAGACGTTCATCAAAACAACCTACTCTAAGAAGAATAAGAAATTAATTATTCGTTTATATATCAATTAATCATATTTGTGTGCAGGCATGCATGCATGCTTTTGTTTATGTATCTTCACACACATGCAATCATTTTAAAATTATTATAAACATTAGTTGGTATTTCTAATTTTCCCAAAGCTCCAAATATTTCAACTGCTTATGGTTTGAAATAAGTTATCTAATCTTTTCAACAAAACCAAAAGATCAAACAGCCACTAATTATACCTCTTCTAGCGGATCATAGTATATTCCGTTGTATGGGATTTCACCTGGTGCTTGAACAGAGCACTTGATCCAAGCAAGAATGGAGTCCTTAATCCCAGATGGAGTTTCCATACGAATCTATAATTATATAGCCAAAAAGTTAAAATGGACACATGGAAAAATAAGTTTGGATGAATGATAATTGACATGATCATAACAGTCTAGCAAAAAAATATTTTTTTTTCCATCTTCATCCTTTCTTTTTTTCTCCCTTCCTTTTAGGATAGGAGTTAGTTGGATTTGAACTTAGCTACCTTGAATAATTTTGCTTGACTTAGCGACCGCCCCACTAAATACTTCAATGCCTTTATGTCATGAATTCTAGTAATTAATTATCATGAACGTTGTACTACAACCAATGATTTATTCAAACCATATACACATGCAATAAGATCAGTGTTAAAAAAAAAGCATCATACTTAAAGGTACCTGGTCCATAGATCATGGTCAAAAGGTTAAATACCTTGTTGATCTACAGGGAAAGAATTGCAAGTTTTAATAGTTTCTTTTTACTCTGACTTAAAAAGTGGAAAAAGAAAATAATAAACAAGTAGCATTTGAATGCAAGCACAATAAGTTTCAAAAGCCAAACTTATGTTCATCTACAGGTAATTTACCTCCACTTGAGAACCATGGGGAATTGGTGGTGAACCATAAGCATTATTAGCTAAAAGATCTCCCATACACCAAACTCATTCTGTTAAAAAATAATTAATATTTGTAGAATTAAACACTAGATGTTATTTAAATATAGAAATAGACAATAGATCACTGCCAGTGTAAATCAACACAGCTTTCTAAGCACTTAGAACACAGTCACCTTCCCTTTTATACTTGAGATTGCATGACATTAAATATATGAATTAGCTGATACAATTAATTGTTACATAAGCAAGGTGACTTTTGCACTTAATTATAAAAACTTTGACAATGTTTATCTTCTTCACTTTTCTATTTGGAGCTTTTAAGAATACCAACTGCACCAGACCCAATCCTTGGTCCATTAAGAAGAATATTCATGCTCACATACATATAAAAAGATCCATGTTTACATTCAGATTTAACATTAAGCTAAGTGTCTTGACAAACCAAACTTAAAAAACTTTTAACTTCTTTCGACATGTGCATTTAGAGAAGATATAAGCAATTGACTTATGAACAGCTGGTATTGCAAATACTACAGTTTCTTAAGGCATACATCTTAGAGACCATTTCTACACTTAACATCCTCATGGATCACGTAAAAAAGTATTGAAACCCCAATCCATTTACGCAACCCAGTGCAACAAATGTTGCTATAGAAGAGACAGCAGCTGGTATTGCAAATACTACAGTTTCTTAAGGCATACATCTTAGAGGACATGGTTTGAGTCAAAGAGAAAAGCAGGGAAGAATTGATTATTATGACAGATGACAATTTAAAATGGTGGAAGTCTACCTTCAACTATTGTTTCTTTTCCTCTTCAATATTAATAGAACTTAAAGAATGTTATTTTTGCAAATAATATATGAAAATCTGCAACTAAATCACTCCAATATAAACATTTTATCAATTAAATGTTCCTTACTATGCTAATATTTCTAAAGGGTAAAACATAAATTACCTTTTATTGTGCTAGTAGCTCTTTAGGTGAATTATTTGCACAAAAGATGAAATATGTGAAAAGCAAGGATATTTTAAAATTTCTAGATATTCTTGTCTGTTCCCTTCAAGTGTTTTTGGAATTTTCATTTTTGGCATCTTTAGTTGCTATGTTTCCATAACTCTTGGTCTACAATAAAATTTAGTTCAATTTACTACAAGCATTTTTAACAATTCTTTAGTTCATTCTACAATATCAAAACACTTAACTACTAGCAAGGTAACCTACTTATTCACGGCATATGGATTCAATTGATGCATGAAGAGAAGTGATGAAGCAATAGAGAATTAGAAAAACATGTACAATACACAAATGTTTGGTAGGCTTCGCACACACAAGTATGTGTGCAAACTTTTTCAAAACCATTGCGACACTTAGCATCCTCATGGATCATGTAAAAAAGTATTGAAACCCCATTCCATTTACGCAACCCAGTTCAACAAATATTGCTGTAGAAGAGACAGGGGACTTAAAGCAGACAGCGTAATTCTAGAACAAATAAACAATTATAAGTCGAACTATGCTCAAAGTGACTCAAAGAGGAGTTATAGAACATACATCTTCACCAACGGTGACAGCCTGAGGATATAGCCCATGAATCATATGATTAACCAGCATCAGATTGACAACAGCATCTACATCAATTGCATTTCCAAAGTACTCATTGTAGTTTCTAGTAAATGCTACCTACAGCAAGTTCAAGAAAACAAAGGTTAAGCTAAGATAATACATTATAAAGATGCAATGACACTAAAAACCTTTAGTCCTCAAGAGAATTTAGCTAAGAAACAAACATAGAGAAATGATGCTTCACCACTTACAAGAACCAAAAGTTACATCAGTTCTACTTCTCTATATAACATAAAGTCAAAACTTTGATGATTAACATCTAAACATGCGAGTAACTTATTATATAACATCAAGCAGAAAAGAAAATCTGTAAACTCACCCAGATATTAATTGCAACCCATGATAGGTGTACATCATTGAAGTCGCAACATCAAATCTGAACCCATCAAACTTGTATTCTTCCAGCCACCATCTTGGATTTTAAAGAAGAAACCTTTGTAGCTAAAGCAACAAGTAAAAATTAATATTTACACACAATAGGATGGAAGGAAGCCAAAATCTTTCAACAAGCTATTGTTTAAGAGAAGTTTCAATAGAAGTACTGCTTCCCAGCTTCCACAATTAAAAAGGCGAAAATCCCACATCCAGTTGTGACCCTTTGACCTCGAGTGGAAGCAATGAGCATTGGTTCCATCAAACATGTTCAATCCATCTAACGCATTATTAGATGCATGGCTGTATTCGTCAAACATCAGTCAAACACAAAGATGGATGAGAAAATTAATTAATAACTTAATTTAACTAAAGAATAAAAATTAATTGAGACTTATAGCAAAAGATTACTTACTCAAAGCAACAGAGCAAATACTTGAATAAAAATTTGCTATAGCTTAGAAAAGAATTTAACATTAACGACATGCAAAAGATAAAAAACTTTCATTGTAAACAATACAATAAGATTCCATTCGGTAGTTGTTTTTGCTACTAGCTTTTTGCTTCCAGAAGCAGAAAGTACATTTGGGTAGAAAAGACAATAATACTTTAAAAGAATTAAAAATAAAAAATATAATCTCTTATAGAACAAAATACTATGATTCCTCCTTGAATAGAACAATTATACTACAAATTCTATTGCATTTAATCATATATATTTTCAAACAATTATGACTTTGCTTTCTCCCTTTTAGGTTTGTTCTTTAGAAACCTTTTAGGAAGCCAAAAACAACTAGAAAAAACATAGTAAGAGTAAGGACCAACAACAGCCTATATTCTCATGGCCATATTTGCATCAAGTCTATTGGAAGAATGGCCATACAGTCTAAGCAAGAAAAGAAGAAGAAAAAGGGTTTATATTTTCATTTTAGGTACGAAAAAACTGGGAAAAATCATTTGCACAAAAACTGTAACAGCTAATAAAGCTGAAGAGTGTGTTTCTAGAAATGATATTCTCCTGCAAGTCCAATTATTACCTGTGCACAATATCCATAAGAACAAGTAGACCCAACTCATGAGCCCTATCTATCAGTGACTTAAGATCATCAAGGGTTCCAAAACGGCTGCTTGGTGCAAAGAAGTTTGTCACATCATAGCTGCAACATATTAAATGCAACTTGTTAAAAGTAGAAGAGGTTAGTTTCCATAACAAAAACTCAATTCTGAAGAAATATTTCTGTTTACCTCCAAAACATAACATTTTAGTACAAGTTAACAAACATAAACAACAACAAATAAAGATGAGCTGATATTTTGATGGAGATAATACCCAAATCTAGCATAATACGAGTGCTCTTGAATAGCCATGATTTGAACAGCATTATATCCAAGTCTTTTAATGCGGGGAAGCACATCATCTCTAAAGTTGGCATATGTGCTAATTATTGGCTCCTGCATCTCAGAGTTGATAATATTAAGAAAGCTAAGAAATGGATTAACCATATCAAAATGTAGCATGGAAGATAAAGACTGAAGGTGTTTGTGGGACAAATTTTCTTTAAATGACGGTATGATGAAAACTAGAGATAAATTTTGGTTTAATTGCAAATTTAGGCTTCTTAATGGGTTTTAGAAATGGGTGAAGAATCATAATAAAATGCAATCAAACCAACTTCTATGTTATTGATTTGAAACTGCTATTTAAGATATTTCTATATGCAAAGCAGTTAACAGAGATCTAAGTCACTAGCTATTTGGCATTTGCATTGTCATTAACTAAAGTAATACTCGTTATTTAGTAATACCAGAGAAATGTTTTTGTTTTTTTCATCTTTATCTTTTCTTTCTTTCTCCCTTCTTTTTAGGGCGGGAGTTAGTTGGATTTGAACTCAGCTACCTTGAATAATTTTGCTTGACTCGGAGACCACCCCATCAAATACTTCAATGCCTTTATGTCATGAATTCTAATAATTAATTATTGTGAAGGTTGTAGTACAAACCAATGATTTATTCAAACCATATACACATGAAATAGGATCAGTGTAAAGAAAAAAGCATCATACTTAAAGGTTCCTGGTCCACAGGTCATGATCAAAAGGTTAAATACATTGTTGATCTACAAGGAAAGAGTTGCAAGTTTTTATAGTTTCTTTTTATTGACTTAAAAAGTGGAAAAAGGAAATAATAAACAGGTAGCATTTGAATGTAAGCACAACAACTTTCGAGAGCCAAACTTATATTCATCTATAGGTAATTTACCTTCACTTGAGAACCATGGGGAATTGGTGGTGAACCATTAGCATTATTAGGCCAAAAGATCTCCCAAAAAACAATTAATATTTGTAGTATTAAACACTAGATGTTATTTAAACATAGAAATAGACAATAGATCACTGCCAATGTAAATCAACACACATGTTTACATTCAGATTCAACATTAAGCTAAGTGTTTTGACAAACCAAACTTACATAACTTTTAACTTCTTTCAACATGTGCATTTAGAGAAGATATAAGCATTTACTTATGCACGGTTGGTATTGCAAATACTACAGTTTCTTAAGGCGTACATCGCAAAGCACATTGGTCAAAGTCAAAGAGAAAAGCAGGGGAGACAATAGCTCATTAAAAGCAACACAAATGATGTGTAGTTCATCAATAGATATAAAATTGCAAGAAAGTTGCCTCAGAAACAAAGTGCGGAGTTACTGATATTTTGACAGCACCAACTCCATCTTGTGACTGCATTATTTATGTCATGTATAGAAGGAGAAGATTCAGAAAGCAATCAAAGAAAATCACTTGTAGGTGCACCTACTAAAGTATTGCTCAATTATTATGAACTTCACTTAATGTCAAGTAACCCATCAATGGCAGGTCAGTTCTTACAGACATGGAAAATATCAATTCAATGCACACGTGGCATTTATTCTTGCACAAAAAAGCATAACACACCCGGCTCATAATATCTGCATTAGGGTTCCAATTGTTAAAATTTCCAATCAGTGCCACTAACTGAAAAAGAAAATACAGTAAAATAACCACAAAAATTGAAGAGAATATGAAACACCTAGAAGTTAATAAGACTTTTTTGATTGCATAGAAGTTAGTAAGATTAATGGTTAAAATCTCAAAATGTTAAAATGATGCATAAAAAACCCTAACTCCTGGTGCCCACTCCCTGTAAGTTATTCTTGTCTCACTGAAAGCCATATGAGATTATGTTGAAAAAGAGCAATATCAGCTTATCATAAAACAACTTCTAAGACAAAAAAAAAAAAAACACGAATGGAGAATAACATTTTTACTAAAAATTAAAGTTAACAAGATAGCTATTAAGCAATGTAATACAAAGAAATGATAAAGGAAACACGGGGAAGACATTCACAAATAAATAAATAAATAAAATAAACATATAAAAGTGAAATAATAGATAAAGGACTAATTCTAAGGACTTTAATAAAATTCTCGATTTTTTCTTGCACCAAAGAACCAAATACTTGCTCCACACTTTGTTGAGCATCAAGGAACTTATTTCTTTATTAGATTGATCTGCCTAAATATTAAACATATAAAAATAAAAAGATCTAGAAAATCATGTACGCTATTCCAACACAAATCAATCACAAGAATATTCCAACACTAATTTTATTTAATTGAAAATTGCTCCTTTTGAATTGAAAAGAGTAATAAATCAAAACAAATTACATTTAGTGTAAAAAGCAATAACATGCAACCATGGGAGCTACAATTAATATGGAACATTACAGTTATGAAAAATAAGCCCATGCTAACAATTAGATATTTGGAAGAATGGTAACCTACATGTGAAGCCAAGCCTCTCATAGCCAAGAGAAAATACCTCCAAACCACCTTTATACTTGTCAATTTCCTCTAATATTCTCTTATACTGTGCATACCTGTAATTAGATAAAATATAAAAATGTCAGGGGCACATACCTTATCAACAACATCATTAGACAATTCCTTATTCATTGATCACTTTGCTAAATACAAACATTGTAAGAGGGTTGGGTCAGGAGCATCAAACCTGAGTTTTCCGTTTTTTGTATCAAATGCAACATTTTCTCTCCAAAAAAGACACAGCCGGCCACTCTCCCCTAACCCGGATCCCAGCGACGGTAGCTGACCCGGCCGCCGTTCAGCGTCAGTTGACTCCAAAATTTCAGCCGTGGACTCCTCTCTTCCTTCTTGTCTCAGATTCAGCCTCTGTTTTTTGCAAATCACCTCATAATAGCTTAGATCTGAAACTTTAACCCGAAATTTTAAACCGCCGTTCACCCTCTTCTCGCCATCCGGTCGTCCTAAAACCAAAGTATGTTGTTTCTCCCTTTCCATCCTTCCTTTCTACCGGTTCAGATCATCCAAAAGTCTCCTCGCCCGCGCTGACCTCCATACACCGCCGTCGCTCCCACTGCCCAAAAAAATAGCTCTTTTCTTTCCTTTCCCAAAATCTTAAAAATACTCTCCCAAATCACTCATAAAAACAAAAAAAATCCCATGACCAAAAGCCCTTTTCATCCTCAACGGGCCCTTTTCTGTTTCTTTTTTTTTTTTTTTCCCGATGGATTCCACAATAGAGCCCTGTGGTTGTTTGCAATTTTTTTTTTTTTGGCTTTGTTGGCTTGGTTTTTTTATTTTTTGTTTTTGGCTGTGACAGTTGCTATTTACTTGTTGGCAGTTTCGATGGCTATCTCAGTAGGGCTGTGGGTGGAGGGTAGGTGGGAGATGGGAGCTGTTCCTGGGGGGAGATCGGTGGGGTTGGGTTGGCGATCGGCTGGCAAAGGAAAGGGAATGGGATGGTGGTGGCGGTTTAAGGCGGGAAGGTATGGTGGTACACATGGTTGCCGGTGGAGGCAATGGCTTGTTGGATTTTTGGCATTGCCTTCTTCGTCCAAAAATTGGCCTCCTCTCTCGCCTCAATTTTTGGCCAGATCCAGTTCAAATCCCCAATTTTTTTAGATTTAAGAAACACTTTAATTCAAATTTTCGATTTTATGAGATTTGAGAAAGACTTTACAATTTTTGTGCTGGCAGGTTAGACAACAATACAGTGGGCAATCGGCTTGAATTCAACGATGGAATTATTTGAATTTTGACCATTTAGAGTTTTCAAGCTTTCTCCTTTTTTTTATTATTTTGATTTTTTTTTCAAAGAAATTAAAATTAAAAAATAAAATAATAAGAATTTAAAATAAGATAAGCCACAATGTTTTATTGAGCCCTCTCGGAATAATTTCAAATCCAAATTAATTAGAATGAAATTTAATTTGTTCAATTTATTTGATGGTTTAATAAATTCAAAATATTTATTGAGATAATAATTAATGAAAATATTTTTTAAATCCAGTAGATGCAAAACAAATAAAAATTGTTTAACAAATTATTTTGATTCAATTTTAAAATTAATCAGAACAAAATATGATAAATACATATTTTTTGTGCCATATAAAATGAATTATTGTGCTTTGAAATTGGTCAGTTTATGATTTATGTTCGGCAACAAAATAAATGTTGATTTCAATAATTTCAATCAATCATGTAACTGAAGATAATGTTGAGGCAACTGCAGTAAAAATTTTTTTCTGTAAAATGAGATAGTCCTGTTTTGTTTGGCCTGCTTCAAATATTTTATATTTAGAATATTAGCATTTGTTTTCATGTTTTGTGCCTTTAAGCAACTTTTATCCAAAGAAACAACAAAACTTTAGACTATTAAATTGCATATGGCTTGAAAAGTCACGAAACTGTCATCTTTGAAAACTTTAAAATTTTGTTTTTCTTTCTAAGTTTGTAAATAACTTTTCATTGTCTTTTTCCTTCATGCAACTTTTTGTAATATTGTGCTTTCGTCAAGTCACAAACTTGGACCCTTTGAAATAGTTCATGTTGGCCAATTATATTGAATTTGTTACCTAAAATGATTTTCTACCTATGTATATTTTATTTTCATTTAGTAAAAGTTAAAGCAAAAGCTATATTTCAATCTATAAAGAGGCAGGCCAGTGATATTTTGACTAAATATTGTATAGAGCCAAATTGTAAAAGGGAATATACCTTTTTTTTTTATAATGTAGTTAGGGAATCAAAAGCTTTACCCGTTAACAATTCTAGATATGATCATTCAATGGATCCAAAATTCAACCAATATGTCAAGTTAGGCAAAATTTGTTCCTTCAAACATTTTCTATATCAAAATCCAATACTACTTTTAAAAGTAACACCCAAGGAAAACACATCTATGAAATTTGGACACAAGATTATTATCAGTGAGATTTATGGCAAGCATGGATCACTTCTGATAAAGCAGAATTTAGATGAAAATATACCTTTACATATTGCTGTAAGGGCAGGTTGGAAAGAAACTAATAAAGATGAAATCATTAGCAAGTTTGAGATTCTGAGAATGGTTAACAAGAAAAACAACATAGTTTTACATGAAACTCTCAGGAATGTTCATCTTAGAATGATTCAACTCTTGTTAAAGGTCGATCTTAAGTTGACTTTTTTAAAAAAATTTGCTGGTGAATTGCCTTCGAATCTTGCTTCCAGAGAAGGAAAGCTAGAGATAGTGAATGAAAATTATGACATCAACAAATAAGTTCGTAGCTTCTAAGGTTTCAGATGGCCAAACAGCTTTACATGCTACTGCCATTGAAAGCCATTATGGTAATTTTCATGTTTGGTTCATTTATTTTCACAAATTTCTCTTACACAACATTGTAGTTCTTACTGTTTCAAAACGCTTGCAATTCTAATTTCTATACCAAAATAGAGATATTAGATTTTTGCTAAGTATTTCTTTTTTATAGTGCTTCTGGTTTTTTTTTTTATCTTAACAAATTTCCTGTGTAAACATAAGGTATCATACAAGCCCTCACAAGAGCCAAACCACGTTGATCAAAGAAGTTGACCCTCATGGAAGAGCCTCTCTCCACTATAAAATACTGAAACAATTATTGGATCTTGATAATAGTGTTGTATATATATTGGACAAACATGCTCACTCACCACTTCATGTTACAGCTAGTAATGGTCATGTTAATGTTATAAGAAAGATCATTTGAAAATGTCCAGAATCTATCGAAACTTCTTGATTTATGTGAGCGCAATGCTCTACATGCTGCTATCCTTAATGGGAAAGGTAATGTCATCGGGTATATGCTGGAAACAACAAAAATAGAAGGACTTATAAACCAACCTAATAATGATGAAATACACCTTTGCATTTGGCAACTATTGGAATGAAAATTTGGATTGTTCGATACTTGATATAGGATAAAAGAGTGGATCAAAGAACCAAGAGCAAAAATGGCCAAACTACATTTCATATTGATCATTGCATAAGAGAATCATGTCTAACAGTTCCCAAGGTAAGAAGATAATTGACTAGTTTATATTTTTTTATTAGAAAATTACTACACAATGCACTTTTTTAATCTTGGTTGTCACTTTTAGCTGCTGTTATATGCAAGACCAATTCAGGCATACCATATCAAAATTTTGATCATTACTATATTGTAAAAGGCAATCTCAATTATCTGTAGAAAATTAAGCTCGCCACCTACTTGGAACATCAAATAAGACATTCCTCCAAGCGTAAACCATGAAGCAGAAGATGCCAAAATGTAGTATTACAAGCAAAAGGGATAGATCTTTAAATCATCTTCATTTAAGTACTTAAAAATTTTTATGATATAAAATATTAAATTATTACTTACAAACCTTTAAAATCAAGAAATTTGTTATAAATATATATTATATAGCATGAAATTGTTAACTAAATTATAATTCTAATATAATAAAAATAATTTTAATACCTTTATAGTAATAAAATTGAAATAACTATCATTATATTAAATTAAATTGGAAATATAAATTTAAGTTTGAAAAAAATAAATATAACAAAAATTTTGAACTAAAATTCTAATAAAGAATAAATATTTAATCTTTCTTTATTTTAACTTTTTTTAGAAGTTTTCTTTTAAGTTTTTTTGGTTTTTGGTCATCATCTTCATTCATTTTTTATATATTTTTTCAAATAATTGTTTTCTATCACAATCAAATTGGATTTTGTACTTCTTTTTCTTCTTTATTTTATGCTTTTTCTTGAGCTTTTTCTTTTAACTTTTTTGTAGTGGATTTTTGTTTTCAATTTTATAAATTTGTGAAGTAATCGATCATCATTAAATTCATTTAAATTCTTTATTTTGATTTAAAAACATATTGTTATAAAGTTTTTGTTGCTTCAAATAAAATAAATACATAATGTTTTCTTTTTCATGATCACTTACTTCTGTTTTTGATTTATACTTATTTATGTCTTATAAATCATTTTGTAATTTAATTTTATAGTAAAAAAATGCGTACTTACTTGAATTTTACTAATTAAAAAATATTGATTTATAAATATATTCTAAAAAAAATATTTTAAGCAATCAAGAACTATTATTATGTCGATGTAATCATCAATGATGTCTATTTATATATTTACAAGGGATATTGACTAAAACTACTTTTAATATAAAATATTGATTTCTTAAAATGCTATTAAATATGCATAACTTATTATTAATAATACTAATTTTTTAATATTTCAAGAATTAATAAGAGATTTAAAAAATAAATCTATTTGCTGAACCAATTCAAATAGTTTTAACTATTTGAATAATTATCTATTTCAAATTGTTATAACCTTTTGTTTACCATAAAACAGTTGTTTTTGTTCATACAAACTTATTTGGAATAAAATATTTTGAAAATTAAAGAGTAAGAGAATTTTAAAAAAAGAATCTATTTACCAAATAAGTTCAAATAATTATGACTATTTAAACAATTATTTATTTCAAAATATTATGACCTTTTATTTTGTCATAAAACAATTGGTTTTATTTATGCAAGTTTATTTCAAATAAGATAATATAAATTTATTAATATTTCAAAAATTAATAAGTAAAATATTTTAAAAACTAAATCTGTTTACCAAGTAAGCTCAAATAATTATTTATTTCAAATAGTTATGATCTTTTATTTTGTCATAAAACAATTGTTTCTATTTATACAAGTTTATTCAAAATAAAATAATGCTAATTGATTAATATTCTAAAAATTAATAAGTTGAAGATTTAAAAAATTAATCTATTTACCAAACAAGTTCAAATAGTCATGTCCATTTAAATTATTATCTATTTCAAATCATTATGACATTTTATTTTATCATAAAACAATTGTTTCTATTCATACAAAACTATTTAGAACAAAATAATATTAATTTATTACTATTTCAAAAATTAATAAGAGATTTAAAAACTAAATCTCTTTACCAAATTAATTCAAATAGTTATGATTAATAAACAATTATCTATCTCAAATCGTTATGACCTTTGTTTGTCTTAAAATATTTATTTTTATTTATACACACATATTCAAAGTAAAATATTGCTAAATTAATAATATTCTAGAAATTAATAAGTAAGAATTTCAAAAAATAAATGTGTTTGCCAAACCAATTTGAATAGTTAGGACTATTAGAACAATTATTATTTCAAATCATTATGACCTTTTGTTTAGTCGTAAAATAATTGTTTCAATTCATACACGCTTATTCAAAATAAAATAACACTAATTTATTAACATTTAGAAAATTAATAAGCAAGAAATTAAAAAATAAATCTTTTTATCGAATAAGTTCAAATAGTTATGACTATTTGCACAATTATCTTTTTAAAATCGGTATAACTTTTTACTTTATTATAAAGCAATTGTTTCAATTTATAAAAACTTATTCGAAATAAAATAAGATTACTTTATTAATTTTTTAAAAATTGATAAGTTAGAGATTTACAACATAAATCAGTTTATCAAATCAATTCAAATAATTATGGGTATTTGAACAATTATCTATTTCAAATCATTATGAACTTTTGTTTTGTCATAAAATAATTGTTTTTCATCATAAAAGCCTATTCAAAATAAAATAATACTAATTTATTAATATTTCAAAAATTAATAAGTAGGAGATTTAAAAAATAAATTTATTTTTTAAACCAATTCAAATAGTTATGACTATTTGAACAACTATATATTTCAAATTATTTTAATCTTTTGTTTCTGTTCATACATGCTTATTCAGA